CCAAGTTTTATTAGCACAGTGTTTGTAAAGAAGCAGGAAAAGGAACAAACATAATCTTCATCTTCTATGTTCCTGTATTAAATTAATTTTCAGATACCCATGCTTTTCATACCCAAACATGTGTTTGTACGTAGGCAGTATATAGAAAACGATGTTTACTGGGGCCCCAGAAGCCAGCCGGTAAAGCCTGGTGGGGACCAGGCCACCTAGATGGAGTCAGACTTGCTGGGACATATAGTGCTGTGGTCTCATGGAGTAAGTCATGGCTCGAATTAAACATTCGTTTGAATGCAGTAGCCAGATGACAGGTGTCCAGATTTCTGGTGTTAATTAGTGTCCTGATATGTACAGGAATGACAAGTCAGGGTCAGGAGAAGCTCTTGTTCTCTTCCAGTTTGTGCACAAACCAGATAGTGTGTCCACATCCCTGATTACTATGTAGTGAGAAACACCAGCGTTTTCTGCGCGCATTGGAACTGGCAGGTTTTTATCTGTGTCTTTCTCACAATGAAGTTTCATCTTAATCTTTTCCCACTCTTTACATCATGAGCAGGCATTCACAGCATGTGTGGAAGAAGCGTTTGTTTTTGATTAGGTGCAAATGTCACTAACCCTGTCCATCCTTGTGTCAAACAGAAAATGGCTGGCCTTACACTGGGTTTTTCTGCTAACCCAGCTGACCAAGCAACTAATGGCCTACATGAAAGACAGATTAGTAGCTAGAGAAAAAACATACTATGCAAAAAATCAAAGGCGGAAAATAAGCTTCTTGCTATTCCTATCCCTTTTCTATAAGTAAGTGCCCTGTATTTCAAGACATTTTTGCTTTTATTTTTTTTGGCTCACGTACAACAGCTGGGGAAAGCCTGAATAATTTACCGCCCGCCTACTTTGACCAAAGACTAAACCAACTAGCCATTGAACTGATTGACTAAAAAGATGGTTCTGAGCACTGTAAATATCTGTAACTCCACTGTTATCTCTCTACCTTTTAAAAAGTGATGTGACATTTTTATTCTGTGCCATCAATGTTAATTGAAAATATGCTAATGCCAAAAAATCTTCCCTTCCTCCTACAGTTCCAGTGTCAACAGTGCAGAATTACCACAGCATCCTTTGGGTAGAGTTTAAAAAGCTTCTTGACCGTAATGGGTAGGAAAAAATCATGGAGTGAACCCCATTTATTCCTTCATTGTCTGGGCAGTAAGCGCCCTCAGCCTGTGTCACCCTCGCTGTGACCCTGGTCCAAGGGATGTAGCTGTTGCACAGTGGAGGGGGCACGCTATGGAGCCGACCTGCCTGTGCCTCTGCTCCAAGCCAGCATGTGACAGCGTTTGTAACACAAGGCTCGACTCCCCTCTTTTTAAGCTCTTCCTGAGAGCACTAATCTGTCATAAAAATCAGAGCAGAAAGCCCATAGCTAATCTCAGAGGAGAGCCCTCAGCTCCAGCAGCTCCTAAGAGCAGGCGGGGAAGTCCGTCAAATCAAATTAGGAATTCCTCCCTTCAACTTCCTTGAGTAATAGGCGTCCTGAGCATCCCAGAAGGGATTTCTCTGCCATATAAACACACTTGTTCTTTCTTTTTGATGAACGATTCAGCTTTTCAGCTGAGAATGCTGAGCTGTAAAGTTCCTGTAAGTCCCCTTACAGTCTGTGGCCAATTGCTCTACAAAGACAGTTTTGGAGACCCAGGATCATGTGCTACAGAACCACCAGCAGACACTGCCTGAAGTATGTGCATCCTTCTGACAAGCTCCAAAGTTAAGGACAGACGCATGTGGTTTTTTAATGTTGGTCATTAGAAGGTCCTACTGGATTATTCATGCTGGATGTTGTAATTAGCACATTAAAGTCTCAAAAGCCTTATGAGGTGAAGATGCTCAGAGCTATTGGTAGTAAAGATTTGGTGTCATATTTAAGAACAGCACCTAGGGCTTTTTTTAAGCTGTGAGAACTTCCTGAAGTAGAGTTACACTTGACCTGTAATTTCCAAATACAATTAGGGTTGATCACTAGGAATGCTAGAATTTTAACTTTTCTAGAAAACTTCAGTGGGCTTAGAGTTGCCATCTGAGTTTTCCTCCATATTTGATCTGGCACATTCCTTTAATCTGTATAACCAGTATCGTACACTGGTATCCAGCATAAATAAGGGATCTGACCCTATAAGACAACTAGCTCTGCACTAAAAGTCTTCTGTCTCTGGGAGCCAAGAGTGTTCAGCCACCCTCCAGACTTCCATAATCTTGCTTTTCTGTCATCAAAACTAAGGCTACTTCATGGCTGTCCTTCCACTGATTTTAAAGGATCTTGGGCCAGGAAGCTCATGGGAATAGAGCGAGTTGAGAAAGGGTCTGGGTGTACGATTACCTGCCCAGAGCTCAAAGAGAGTTCATTTCTGGTTGTTTGTGATGTATCTCATTTGTCTTCATTTGGAAAAAGAGGCTCTGAACTTAAGTGTTACTGACTGTACATGGGGGCCAGTTTGCCCACGCAAATGTTCAGCAATCCTGAAAGTCGATGAACATCAACACCTTTTCTCAGGAGGTGGTGAGGGATACCCCAAGTGAATGAGAACCCCTGACTCTGGCAGTCCAGTTGACATAAGAATGAAGCACTGTTTCAATTGACCTAAATGCCCTGATTTTCAGACCCGCTTCATTGCATCTGCTGGTTGTAAGAGTGTTTAATGCAAGAGCTGTTGGCAGGTACGACAGCTTAAAACTTGACTCTACTTCATGACTAATGCTCAGCAGTGCATTAAAGAAATGTTTGCAGAAGTTTCCAGGCAGCACCAATACATGAGCATTCCCTTTGAAACATGGAGGATGTCAGTGGCAGGGGTGGCACTGTTTTCTAGCACTGGGGACATATCCTACACAAAGAGTGATGCTCTTGTTTCAGGTTGTATAAAGTACATCTCTATTTGTAAGCAGACAGATGGTTCCATATCTGGGTTGTCCCTACAGTGTATTGTTTTTAATCTGCATGGAAATGTGTCATTCCTGAGCTGATCCACATTGCTGGGACACGAACTCTGAGGCTTTTTTTACTCAGCAGGCTGCTTTGGCTCCTAATGACAGTAAGAGGTTAAGGATGAGGCAGCAGGTACATTGCTGAAGAGGAAAACTTGTTTCTCTGAGTGTTACTCTTTGTCATAAGGTGTGCTCTACTTGCTGGTTGCTAGAAAGGGACTGGACATCTACACACCTCTTGCAGCCTGCGGTAGCTTGCAAAACTCAGTTGCAAAGAGGCTTAAATGGCTGTCGTCCTTTGTTCTCATGCTCTAAGCGTAGGTAATAAAAATATACCAGGTTTCCTTACGGCAGGCCAGAATCATTTCTTTCACTGATGATTTTCTTTCTAATAGAAGCATTGTACCTGATATAGACAAAAAGTGCTTTCCTACTATTTAAGTCTGACACCTTTGCCCTAGTCTTAAAAAAATTGTTTTCAATCTTGACTTGCCTTCCCAGTAAAGCATTCCTCTTTCTTACGGGCCCAGAGACTTTGAAAGTATGCAGAGTATTAAGGATTAGAATTTTTATATGAATTACTTGCTCTGATTTCAAGTTATTATTAAGCCTTGCCAGTGAAAATGCAAACAAAACCATGTCTCCAGGGGATGAGGAACAGACATTGCTGCACATTGTAATCAGCCTCTCTTGAAGATTCATTTATATCTTGTGTATTTTTTTATGAAATGCATTATTCATGTAACAAGATTCACAGAGAGAAGCAGTTGAATTGTAATTTCTGGGAAGATTCTTCTTCCAAGAGATGGCATTTTCATTATTTAAATCAATGCAGTATGGTCTTGCCTGCATGAGGGAGGCATGAAGTGAAGGGAACAGCCTGTAGATGGGGCACTGAGCCAGTTAGTTGCAGCCTCTGAAGGGAAATAAACCAGGTCATCGAGCGATTTAAGCCCTTTTTGGGTCAGTATGTAGCCTTTTGAGACATCATTACACTTTGTAGGGGTTTTTTTCCTCTGCGTTAGAATCACTTAAGAAAATAGTAATCAACTAACACTTACTCAGTGGAAAAGTTTCCTCTTGTACAAAAATACTGCTTGCGAGCTGATTTGCCTGCCACTCATCCCTAGAGAGTGCTCACTAGGTTCTCCATTGAGTTCATCTGCCCAGCCATGTGAGAGGACGTTTCTTTTAGTTTCAGGACCTACAGTAAAAGTTCCCCATGTTTTTATTGCAATTCTCTCTTATTTACCTTACCCTATGTAAACCACTGTACTTAATTAACACAGGCTCAGCTTGTGTTATATTAAGAACTCACTCCACCAGCGGTCCCACTGAGATCAGATGGGCTGTTCAGAGATAATAAAACACAAATAACACTGGTAGAGTTCAAGCTCAACTTAATATTATTACAGTGGTACAGACTGTAAGTGCTTTACCAACTGTCACCATTGGCAACGTTGTGTGCTGTACACCTCTTGCAGCACAGCTGATGGCAAACTTATATTTAAAAGTGAATATTTAGGAATTTAATTAGTGCATATAACCATTTAATTATGTTAGTGAAACAATAAATAGGATGTTACAGCTGAATTTGAGATGCTTCATAAGGAGAGAGATTCTTCTTATTGTGACTGTCCCCCTCCATACCCATATAGCCATTTTATAGGTATAGATGTCCCCTTTTGTCTTCCTCTTGCCCTCCCCTTCCCCCAGAGGATGGGAAGCTTCCAAGATCCCATCTCTCAGGCCTTTAAACAAGCAGATGACAGCAGAGCTCCCTGGTGTCGGTAAGAGCCGAAAGCAATGTCCCGCAGGAGGTGTGTGCATCCATCCGCCAGTGTGGGTGGGTGGCTGGCCTCCCGGCAGCAGTGCTCGGGTACCACAGAGACAAACCCAAAACTGCAGGGAGCCTGAAAGGGAGCCTGAAGCCTGCCCTGTGCATTTTGACACACTAAAGCTACCCAGCAGTGGGTTGCCGGCATTAATGTTTTTCTGCTTTTCTCTTTGTTCATCTGCCCAAGTTTGTCCACTACCTCCAATGGTGAGTCATGGAGACTACATCTGCCACCCACGGCCTTGCGAGCGTTACAACCATGGGACGGTGGTGGAGTTTTACTGTGATCCTGGGTACACCCTCACCAATGACTACAAGTACATCACCTGCCAGTACGGAGAGTGGTTCCCCTCCTACCAAGTATACTGTGTCAAAACAGGTAAGGGAGCAGCAATGGCATTACTCCTATCCTCTTATAGTCCCTCTTTTTTAGAGGAAATTTGTTGGTCTGTAGAGCCTGGTGAACATCTGTTTCATGGTTAAGTGATGAACATTGATTTTAAGATGCTATTAAATATAGTACATTTCCAAGATCTTCAGTGATACTAAACCATTTCAATCATTAGCTATTCAGATGTACTTTTTAACATCTTCTGGATATTTTTTTGTATATATAAGCTAAGGTCATGATTGCATGTACAAATAAAAGTCAAGGAGAAAAAGCAAGGTCCAGCCTCTGTGGCAGCTTCATGTTAAGGCTGCTTTTTGTCTATGGCATTGGGTTCATGTGTGTTTTTACAACATACTTATAAAAGATGTCTTGTCCTAACTGGCACTTCTGAGTATTGTAAGTATTAATACAAAATAACAGTGGTGATAATCAAGCAGAACTCTTGTATTGACTTTTTGTTACAGAACAAACCTGGCCAAATACACAGGAGACCCTCCTCACTACGTGGAAAATAGTGGCGTTTACTGCTACCAGCGTTTTATTGGTACTGCTACTGGTTATTTTAGCCAGGATGTTCCAGACCAAATTTAAGACACACTTCCTTCCAAGGTTTGTACTGTTTTCTTTTCTTTTGAAAACTGAGGGCCTTTATTCAGTTTTCACATTCAGCACCCCTTGCTGAGGACACAGAGCGGCTCATGAGCCTCGCAGATACCTCCTTCTTCTGCTCTGAGCAGAAACCTCTGAACCAGATTCGCTTTGGGAGTAATTACAGCTCTGCTACTGAGAATTGCTGCTTCTGCATGTAAAAATAGCTGACAATATTTTTAAATACCCATTTTCTGATGCTGAGGGAATTAGTTTTTTAACTACTGTAGACTTAGTAATGTAAGTTTTAAGAAATAATTTCTTTTTTCTCTATGGACAAATTTATATTAAAAGTTTGCTTTCCCCTCCTGAGCATTATTTTCATCATGATTCATAAACATCTCCTACCTCTTCCTTTATTTCCATAAAATACCATGCAGCTATGAGCATTTGTCATTGATTTTCACAGCACTCTTCATGAGACAGGTAGGTCGGTATTATTATTATTATCATTATCACCTTACAACTGGAAAAAAAAGGCAGGCATGCTGCGTTTTAGGCAAAGCTAGTACTGTATTGGGGCTTAGATTTGTTTATAGTTTTCAGCCTGCTCAGTTTGCTATGGACCTTGGCTGTGTGACTTCTCCTCTCCTGCACTTGTTTTTTCTTGTTCTTTATACCACGTGCAGAAAGGAGAGGTGAAAAAGCTGTATGTCAGTAAATATGTCCCCATGCCAATGTAGCAAAAAGGACTGAGAGATCTTAATGTTAAATAAATGTGTGTACATAAAAGTCTACAGGTTATATAAGTAATGTGTAAATATATATATATGTGCTTATATACATTATATGGGGAGTAGTATACATATACATATACATATACACATACACATACGTATACATATACATATACACATACACATACGTATACATATACATATACATATACACATACACATACATATACATATACAACTAGGAAGATCTTTGGGGTAATGGGATGTACTATGGACAGCTTTATAGCCCGTACTTGTCTAACTTATTAAAATGGTTTTCTGTCCTTTTCAGACATTTTCATGTCCCAAGTGTACCTGCGACCAATTCCCTCCCGCTAGGACTATACTGTGGTTTAATTGGCTACTAAACAGATACTTTAGGGTTTAGCAGACCTTCCCAATTAATACAAATGTTTTGCTTAAGAAAGAAACCAGCTTAGTACTGGTTAAGGAAGCCTTCATCCTTTGAAATTAAGACCTGAAGGAGGCCACAGATCTGGCCACCAAAGCCCTGTCATGTAGCAGTAGTCATCTCAGTGCCTGTGTACATGGGCTGTAAACACTTTTGTGCTCTAGCACACATCTTCCCAGGGGTTCAGATGCTTTTGACTGGTGAACTACATCTGTGATCTTCTATCCACAATATCTACTGTCCACAGCACAGCAAATGGTGCTCCTTATCTCTTCCAAGCACCCGTTTTCCTTCCCTTCTTGAAATTGTTCTGTGTGTTAGTGGTTTCATTTTTCTGATTGTAACAGATTCCACCTGTCAACCTGAACAGAGTTTTGTAAACCCATGAAGCAAACATTTCTGTGAATGTTAATGACCCTGTATCTTCATTTTGCATAACTAGAAAGTGCTGTGTTTACTTAAGTTCAGCGATTGCTCTGAGGTTCTTCTGACATGCTCCAGCTCTCTGTGATAACTCATGTATGTTTGCCATAGAGGCAACCAGGAGGGCTCCATGGGTGACCCTGACTTCGTGGTGGTGGATGGCGTTCCTGTCATGCTGCCTTCCTACGATGAAGCTGTAAGCAGCGGCTTGACTGCTCTGGCACCTGGATACTCAGCTACCGCAGACCAGGGGCATATTTTGCAGACAGAAGATCAGAATCCTCCCGCTTACCCCGGCCCCAGGATTACAGACACGCTGCCTAGCGAATTTGAGACCTGTGACAGTAGGTTGGTCTCCTCTGAACTGCTCCAAAATTTGTACCCATCCCTGGCATGCCAAGCGGCAGCGCTTCCCTGCTCAGATCGAACTGACGTATCCCGTAGCACTGCTGGGGAGGCTGTGTCCACGAGTCCACAGATCGATATTGCAGATGGTGAGTTTTGCACAGGTGCAATAGGTGAGTCTGTAAACACGAGCCACCATTGGTTTGCACTGTCAGAGCAGCAACAAACCCAGATGACTTGCTCGTACTTTCTCTATGTTTTTGTCCACATCTTAATTTGGACATTTTTTAAACCATACTACTTCGTAGTCACAGAGCTTCATGTCTGTGATGTGTCCTTGCTAGCTGTGGTGGAAGGGATTTGAATCCCAGGCCAGAAGCTTCCTGTCCAGACCCCGTAACAGCAGTCTCATCAGCAGGGATGTCAGCAAGTGCCTTTGTACAGCAGCGAAGCCAGCCATCATCTTGCCTGTGTTGGTCTGTTCATCTGCTCCTCAGCTCCTATGCTCACAACTCCCTCACATGCCATGGCTTTCACAGCAGAGAACAGGATTTTCTCTTTAAAATGGAAAGCCAATCATGTTTTCATACTCAGCCAAAATTTGCAGCCTTTATTAACAAACTCATTGTGTCTGTGCATACCGCAAACCATTCAGTCTGAGGCATGTACACATTAAGCTGTGGACATGGGAGTCACAGCATAAGGGGAACATACCTACAGGACCACATATGAGAAGGGAGATTGCCATATATTATTGTCTACATCTAAATCAAACACAGGCATGCACTGATAACATTTCATTGAGTTCCAGTGGAGCTGTATGGTGTGCTGCTCAGCATGTTAAGGAAATTAGATACCTTCCCTTGGAGACACTTAGAAGGAGTGGCTCTGATCCTGCTCTCCAGAGTCACTGAGAGCCAGTAGGCAAACAGCTGAATCCCAGTGTCCTAAATTCAGCGTGGGTGAAGGTCTGGGTAGAGGAAGTCTTCCTGCTTCATAGGGTTGGGGCTAACTTGTAACGGTATCACAAGGGGAAGACAGTGAGGAGGAGGAGGGAGAAATTATGACAATGCCAGTAAAAGTCCCTGCCTACTCTGAATGCTGCGTCAGTGATTAATGTAGTAGAAGGGACGTTTGCATTTAGGTTTTTGTGGGCCTAACTTGTTTTAGCAAATCTGGGTAGTTTTAGTAGGTTAATTTTCTTAGAGGTGTTAAAGTGTAAGTGGGTCTAGAATTGGCGATACCGTATGTCTTGTTCAGGTTTTTGCAATGTCCGTTTCTATTTTTGTAGAGTTGCTAATGCTAACACTCTGTGAAAGTGTAAAGGGAAGTTACAATCAGCAGTCAATGCTATTTCTGTTTTTCCCCTAGAGATTCCTTTGATGGCAGAAGACCCTTAGCCTGCACAGAGATGTGTCTTCGTCGCATTGCACTGTTGGGTGACATGAATCATGAGGATTTAGAGATAGAAAAGACTATCTGCAGACTTGGGGAGGGTATTTTCCTACTTACCAATCTTCCACGCGATAATGTCACCAGATTGGGTGTACATCTTAATCCACAGCGGGGATAACAGCATCAGCATTTGGAACAGCAGCAGTTTTATGAATGAATCCTGGGGATTTGATGAGAGCAGATGTAGAAAAAGAACTGTGGCTTTTTAGAAATGAAATGTATATCTGCATCGCAGAAAGTCATATAGTTCTGTAAGAAATGCTATTGGATTTTGATACTAACTGCCTCACAAAAGCATGTCAAAGTGTGTAAATTTGCTTATAAAGACTGCTTTAAATGATCTATGGACCTCTAGTTTATGAAGAATCCTTACAAGTTCCTCTTTGGCTTTCCTGTGATAACCAGGAAGCTTTTGATTTAGTTGTTGGTGATTTTGTTTCAGACCATGTCTGCAGAAAATATAACAGAAACGATGGGATTCATATATACTTTGATGTATGATAGCAAATATATATAAATATATATATATATATATTTAAAAGCTCTTAAAGAGAAAGAAAAGGAAAGACTCTCAGGTCACCTAATGATCTGGAGATTTTTTTAAAGGTAAGGCAGAATTTATATCATATACAATATTCAAGGTAAAGTATTGATATTTGTATTTATGCAAGACTTCCGTGACTACATTGCATTTGATAAATCCTGCTATAATATGAGAGATCTAGAAAATGTTACAATTAAGAAATATGTGCCTAAGAAATGTTGAACTGCCCTGCTTCAACCTTTCTCAAGCTCTTACAAATATATAGATACTAGAGTAATCTACAGTCATAGCCCAGAGCACTGCCTTGTCCCTGTACATTGTGGTAGTATTCTGAGCCATTATTGTAGAATACTTTTTAAAAAAATAATAAAGTTCCATTTCAGTTCTTTTGACTTATCCAGCTGTGTGTAGTTGGCCTTTTTTTCCCTCCCTCACTTCTTTCACTAGCTCCCACCTGAAGGCTGAGATGGCAGCAGAATGCCTGCTCTGTGGCATTTTCAGCTTCATGTTCTTTATCCAGCTACAAATGGAGCGAGTGGTCTTGGTTACGCAGAGCACATGAAATGGGTGCAGCAGTGGCACAGCTTCTGTAGATGCTACACAGCTTCTGCAGAGGCTTTTCTCTCCTCTGCATGTTACGCCAGAGCATTGTGCTAAAGCCTGTGTGAATGATTCACCTTTGTGGTGTTACAGGCTAGTCGTCATTTGTCAGGAAAATTCCTGGCTGTTTCATATGGTTATTGAAAACCAAGTGGATTTTCTCATCTTATTTTTGGGATTGAGCAAATGAAACATATGTTAAACTGGCAGTGTCTGAAGGAAGAATTCACCGCATGTTAGTAATAGAGCTTGCCATCATGTGGGCTAATCCAAACCAAAGGAAAAAATGAGACTGAGTTCTGATTTTATGTACAAAGTAAACCAGTAACACCTCTATTGCCCTAAACAGAGGATTGCTACAAGTTGCTCTGTTATTTTTTTCAAGATTGTTTCATTATTTATTTGAACTGTGGTAGCATCCAGTGGCCCCAACTCATGAGTCAGGCTAGTAGAATGAGAGATGTGCTGCAGTCATTCAAGAAAGTGTTTATTAGCATCCTGTCAGCAACTGTATGTGACAGCAAGAAGCAAATGGAGACAAAAAAAATGTGTAATGGAGTGGTAATCCTTACAATAATCTCAATTATTCTACAGTATCATTGATAAGAACGTAGTGATTGGTATTGAAAGATAAGACATACACATTATCCTCCATTCTTTCTTACATAGGACGGTTGGACTTGATGATCTTAGAGGTCTTTTCCAACCTTAATGATTCTATAATTCTGTAAGATTTGCATTTTTTTTCTGCTGAAATTGTCTCAATTGCAATGGTATCTTCAGGTTTATCCCAGAGCCCTATCTGTCAGGTATTGGTGCTGTCTTTGCTACCCCTTCCTTTTTAGGTCATGTGCTTTCCAGAGGTGTTTGCACTAGCAACTGAAGTTCAGGATTGTCACCCCAGCAAAAAAGACGAGTGCTGTAACACCAGCCTTGAACTGGAGCATGTCTCAAGCCTACAGTCAGTTAAGTGATTTTTGTTTCATAATGTCATTGAAAAGTATTGAACTTACTTTAGACGCACTATAAAATATTATTAAATCTGTCTTTGCTGGTCTTTTAACAGCTTGTGAAATTTCATTCCTTATTAAACTTCTGGACTTTCATTTATTAATTTCTATTATGAAAGCTTCTGATTAATATTTGGAGCTCTACGGTTTTAAGATTTACACTGCTGTATGTATTGTATTGTGGTTATTTTAAGGGAGCCAGTCAGGGTAACGAAAAAATGTAAATTTATGCTTATTAGACCATTTTTATTTTAAAAAGTGCAGAACTGGAAATACACTAGAAAAAGTTGATGTATTAATATTGCTTGATAGTCCTTTGATAGCACAGTACTAAATATAACTTGCAAAGGTAAAAGAGAGTTTTTTAGCATTTTTTGCTTATGATACATAAGACTTCCTGAAAGGGTGTTTTGGGGGGATTACTTGTGTTGAGTTTGGGATTTTTGGATGCTTGAAGATTTGGGGGGAAAGAAAGGACTGTTCCTGCTGCTTTTTTTTCTTTCCCCACATATGGCTTGAATTCTCATGAGAAGTCTGCCTACCCCCGGATCCGCACCCGTGCCCTGACCCACAAGCTGATGCCCTGGGCTGAGGTGCCCCCCCGCCTGCCCAGCTCCCTGGCCACCTTGCCAGCCTGGAGAACCCCACAGCTCCGTGGCCAAAGACCTCAGGTCAACCTCGAGCACTCCCGGAGCCCCAGCAGCCAAACCTTCAGGAGCGCAGATGCTCTTAGGGTCCCGAGAGACTGGAGAGCTGGTAAGATCATGGCAGTATGTTTGCCGTAGAAATGAAACCAGATGGGAGGATGAGCGCATCTTATGCAGATCATAAGCTGTTTTCGCTTGAGCTAACTGGATGTGAATAAAAACAAACCCAGGAAAGCCCTTGTTGGTGAGGGGAGAAGCAGCATTTTAGTGAAGACGGACAAGCTGTGTGCTTTTGGCAGAGGGAGCAAAGGGTACGTGCTGAGAACTCCAGGAAAGAAAAACAAGAACTGGCTTCACCCTGCCAATATTCCTAAAAATGAAAAAGGAGGAGGAGAGATGAGCAATGTGTCAGCCTTCAACACTGATTTATGAATGAGGGCTTGACCTGCAGAGTGCTGGGAGAAGGGTGTGGATCCAAGGTCTCACAGCAGCTCTGCAGGGTGTGAATCACAACCTGAGCATGAGTCAACAGGACCTGGCTGTTGTGAAAATGTTAAATGTCAATATGAGGATGTTTATACAGGACTGTAACTTCTAAAATGCATGAAACAATCCTTCAGCTCCACTCAGCACTAGTATAGCCTCAGCTAGAGCAGTGTGCCAAATGTTGAGGACATTTTGTCCTCTTCTAGGGTGTTGTGGTTTAATCCCAGCTGGCAACTAAGCACCATATAGCCACTTGCTCACTCCCATCCCTGGTGGGATGGGGGAGAGAATCAAAAGAGTTACAGTGAGAAAACTCATGGGTTGAGATAAAGAGAGTTTAATAGGTAAAGCAAAAGCCACGCACGTAAGCAAAGCAAAGCAAGGAATTCATTCACTACTTCCCACGGGCGGGCAGGTGTTCAGCCACCTCCAGGAAAGCAGGGCTCCATCACGCATAACGGTTACTTGGGGAGACAAATGCCATCACTCCGAACATCCCCCCCTTCCTTCTTCTTACCCCAGCTTTATTGCTGAGCACAGCATTGTTCAGTGTGGGATATCCCTTTGGTCAGTTGGGGTCAGCTGTCCCCACGCGTCCGCTCACAGCTTGTGTAACCTCAGTCTGCTCACTGGTGGGGTGGGGTGAGAAGCAGGAAAGGCCTTGACTCTGTGCAAGCACTGCTCAGCAATAACTAAAAAATCCCTGTATTATCAACACTGTTTTCAGCACAAATCAAAAACATAGCCTCATACTAGCTACTATGAAGAAAACTAAATCTACCCCAGCCAAAACCAGCACAAAGAGAAATGTGAAGTAGCTGGAGAGAAGCCAAGCAGAGAGAATCAAGAATTATTAGAAGTTTGGAAGAGCCTGTCCTCACAGGTCACATTAGAGAGCATGTTGTATTCAGTGTGAACAACAGAAGACCAAAGGGGACACAGAAATCTGGTTTTCTGCAAGAAGCATATTTTGCAAAGAAGAAGGAATTTATCCATATAAGTAGGACAAGAATAATAGGCTTAATTGCAGCTTAAGAGAATTAGGTTAGCTATTAGGAAAAACCTTCTAGCCACAGTGATGGTTACAAGCAAGGAGAGATGATCTGAGGAAGCTGTCAAAAACCTCTGAGAGCTTTTTAAAGACTTAAATAAATAGCGGACAGGAAAACACTGGGCCGGGATGCACTATGTGAGCTCTGGGGCCCCCTCCCATTCTTTTTCTGTGTGATTCCCAGCTTATGAGAACTACACTTGGCTGATGCACGATTTTCCCTATATAGACTAATTGCAAACTAATGGTACTGGGCAAACTGGTCAGCAGTCGTCAAAATCACAGCCAGAAATACTCTCTAGTCCACCAACAGCTTTTCATGTAGCGTGGGCTGAACTCCAGTAAAATCCTGTGAATTAAACCCTGTTGCATTAGAGTGACATTGATTTCACAATTTTGTTCTGTGACAAATCCAAATTTGGGATTTTCTGGTCTTTGTGTCTATCTTCAGCAGTTAAATGAATGCAGCCCATCTACTACTCCCTGTGCACTAGGTGAAATAAATCCTCTCTCAGCAATTATCTGGAGACACCTACTGAGTTCAAGGAAAAACAGCAGCTCAGGCACTGGAGCGCAGAGACCATTGTCATGGTTATGCAAAACTTGCTTCCCATGCCCCAGAAGCTGTTTGTTCCTCTCTGTGCTGTGCTGCAGACGGTAGCACAGCTTACCGTATCAGCTGTCAGAGGAAGAGTAGCACAGATGAGAGAAGCACATCTCAAGCTCCTGTTCTTCGTCTCCAGTGGATTCCCAGGAAGGACTCGGGAGCAGGAAGAACTAGAAAGCAAGTAAACATCTGCCCCAAACCCAGGAGGATCTCACATTGTCAAGGGCACATCCAGCCCCTTTGACACAGTTCCCAAAGTAATTGCACTACTGCAGGGGGGAGGTAGGCTTTGCTTTGCCTATTGCTCTCCCAGGCCAGAGTGTGTAGCCAGAATGGACAGACAAATCCTTCTCCCCCAGAATAATGTATATAACTTTCTTCATACCGTCTAGATTTCTCTTGTCACCACCATTATATAGTAGCATACAGCCCA